TTTTGTTTTCTTGTATTTTATCGCTCTGCTAACCCTTGGGGTCCATTTTATTTTGGTATACCTTTTCTAGGTACGTTAGCCTGTGACCACGGAAATTGACCGAGTCAAGTGCTGGATTAGTACGGAGAGATTGAGACAGAAGGAGGTACCGGATAGAGAGACCGGGATGGTTTTTAATATGAAGACAACAACAACAACAACAACATCAGACAGCACTTCAGACAGCAGTACGCCGTACGTAGTCGACAAACATTCATTTTGGTTAAATGCGGGACAAGGGGGGTGATGCTGCTGCTGTAGTCGAATTGTAGTGTGTGGGCGTGTAGTTCAGTTGGGAGCATGCAAACGTGCTGCAGGGATTGCAGGTGTACCTCCTCGGGCTTGCGTACCCTTTTCTTGCTAATAGTGTGTGTTCTTTAAATCTTCTGATGGCTCTAGCATTGTTTTTGGCCTTGTTTTTGTGACCACGGACCGAGTCTTCGCTAGATTTTGGGATCAGCAACTGGCACGAGTTTGATGTGAAGAAAAACAACAACAACAACAACAACAACAATGGAGGGCGCGCGCGCCGGATTTTCGAGTACCCACTTTTGTCCGACAATGGCGTGGGGATACCCACTTTTGTCCATTTTCCTATTTTAAACTCAGCCGATCACGAAAAAACTGCGGACCGTGCTCTCCCACAAGGGACTGTAGGCTTGGGACGAGATCTTCGGTGTCGTAAGCTGCTGTCTCCTGTACACCCACAAACTGGCACGAAAGCCCTCGGTGCAGCGTTGCTGCTGCTACACGATGTGATCGCCAGAGCTCTGCCTGCTGTGGCCGGCGCAAGGTCAACCATGCTGACCCTTGACCCGCGGAAAAGAACGTTGGCTGTCTTGATGTACCAGCGGATTGTCTGTCTATGGGATGTTGGTTTGTCCACACCTGTGCTGGTTGCGATGGGCTATTGGGCTCTGTTGGTAGGCCGCTCTCCCCCCACTTTACTCTGTGCTACAGTTTGAACTATTCGCCTTTCGTGCGCATGCGGGACATTTGTTCACACTCCCTCACCCGCCGCTTGAAATCCCGTGCAGCGAACATCAACTAGTCTAGCCTTCTCCACCGCCGCAGCTCTCGGCGATGATGACGACGATGTAGGGGAGGAAGAGGAAGAGCAATCAAGACGTACCAGCAACAAAACCCAGTTCGAAGCTTTCACCGCCGCGGCGACGATGCGCCCGCCTACTGCTGTGGTGGACAGTCGTGATGCTGACGAGTTAGAGGAGGATATGCGTAGGGGTCTAACCTATCGGCATACACTGAAGAAGCTCGGACCCCTACTCCCTGGCATCGGCAGGGGTAACAGCGCCGAGAACGACACTGCCAGTCGGGCACGTCTGCCCCTTCGGTTCCCTAACGAGGAGGGTGGGATCTATGATGCCCACAGTAGCAGCCAGATTCGTTACAAAACATGGCTGTTTGGGCAAGCTCGGAACCACCTTGGAAACTACTCGGCGGAGGACAACAAGGCCAGGCGGGTCATCCGGGGGAGCATGGATGACAGAGACCGAGTTTTGTGCTGGCTGGAGATGCTCAGGGGGGACACTTCGTTCGAGGACATGGCTCTCGCATATGGACGGTGTGCTGGGACGTATCACAACGAGGTCAGGACATGACGGCGGCCGCGCAGAGCATGCCTTGTCTGCAAGGGGTGAGAGTACATGCATTGGTTTGCAGTTGTATTCTACAATACACTAACTTCACTCATGATACGCTGAAGAAATTCGGAGTGGGAAGTGATATTTGGCATGACTCGAGGGAAGACTTTCAAGATTAGAGCCATGCGTGCACCTCGTGATACTGCAGAACCGTCAGCGGAAACAGGCCGACGCTCGACACCAGCACTAGCCCGTCACGAGCCCACCCCAATGTGCCATCAATCCCTTTATCTGACGCGTACACGCTCCCTGTCAGCGCGTGGAGGAATTGTGTAAGGAGAGTCTGCTGTGCGCGATAAGTTCACACTGCTGTATTTCAACATGAAGTTGACACATAGGTTGGCTTCGCTGCCATGATCGTGTGGTACAGGAGATCCAGTGGCCTGACGCAGCGGAGCGGGCAGCTCATCGCACTTTCCTTCAAACCTGGGGTCACCCGGATTTCCCTCGAATAGCTTACATCGCCGACGGCACCATGGTGAACATGCGAAACCCTGCCAAGGTAAGACTTAAAAGGCTAGCACCTACGTTGGTTGCTGGTGTGTGACATGCATAACGTGTGTAAAACATTGCTTTGTGTTTTTCGCAGGGCATCTCGTGAGAATGGATATGCATTAGCCCGTGCGGATTGTCTGTCTATGCGATGTTGGTTTGTCCACACCTGTGCTGGTTGCGATGGGCTATTGGGCTCTGTTGGTAGGCCACTCTCCCCCCTCTTTACCCTGTGCTACAGTTTGAACTATTCGCCTTTCGTGCGCATGCGGGACATTTGTTCACACTCCCTCACCCGCCGCTTGAATCCCGTGCAGGTCGGCAAGGGACAACCAGAGCCTCACGGCCCGGTGCATCAGGCGAACTACTCCGGAAACAAGGGCCTTGGAACTAGCCATATCGTCTAGTGCAACGTCAGGGTCAAACCGATACGGGTGCGTAGTAAACTTCGATCGGAGTCACAAATGCTAAGTCGTCTTGAGGAACTCACTCGAGTTGCGACCCTCGCTTCACCAGGACCACCCTGTTGTCAATCGCTCAAAAATGTCTACTGGAGTAGACGTGCTTCCATCAGCGTTGTGTGTTGTGCGACCGTAACGTTATTCCAGTGCGCTCGGAAAACTCAAGTCGGAATTCCGTGGCGCATGTTGAAGTGCTAACAAAACGTTTGTCGGTATGGGGGGTGGGGGGGGCATTCTACTCGACATGCCGATATGCGCCGGCAAAGTACTCTCGGTGACGTGAGTTTCGGGAAAAACCGTTGTCCGCGCAAAGCGTCAAGCACCCAGACGAAGATTGGCATTCACTACGTAGGCTGATTCGTCTGTAGATTGCCGTATACTTTGGGGTGAAGAGTTTTCTACCTTTCGTACAAATAGTGGAGCACATGACAAGGAACCAACCACCTTCGTGCGCCTGCTGTCCTGGCGGGTGTGAAAACGTTGTGTAGATTGCGACGGTGGCTGGAGCGCAATAGGGGAGCACATGTCGCTTCCAGGGTGTACACTCATCCTGAGGAGTTCCTGTCAGCCGACGAGGTCGGTATGGGGGACGGTGCTTACCTAGGGAACGCGCGAGCAGACAGCGACTTGCCCATGTGCGTACCCTACAGGAAGCCGCAACACGGGGATCTTTCGAACGAAGAGAGGCGGTTCGACACAGAGCAGCGCCGGTCCAGGGTCGTGGTAGAGAACACCATAGGCCAGATTAAGAAGTGGAAGGTAGTGGGCAATGGCAAGGCTTTTAGACACCGACGGGACTTCGAGAAAGACGTGTTCAACGTGTGCGCTAGGCTCACAGCTCGGATCATGAGGGTTCGCGACAGGTATCCGCGCAGCCCGGAGTGGACTGGACACGTGAAGGAGGCCTGGGAGGTGAAGCTCGGAATCCACCTCTACTGGGACTACGAGGACCCGAGAAGCTATCTTGTCCACAACGAGGGAGAGAACTACGTGTATGGTGTCGCGAATCAAGGAACCGCTCAGCATCTGCACAGTGTTGGGATGGCATTTGGGCGCTTGAAATCTAATAGGCGAACATAGCGCCGGTCGTGGTTGTTTTTCACCGATATGTTGTAGGAAGTCTACCTGACGGGCGAATGGGGTCGGACGCCGGCTGGCGTGACCCCGCAGGGTTTTATGGTGTATGCTATTCTACGTGCCGGTATTTTCGGGCGCGGGGGGACGCTTACGAGAGGTGGGCGTGCAGCGAGACGTGCCTACAAAGGTCGGGTTGTAATTCGTTGTGTTGTCTTTTGACTTGATGTCCGTTGGGGTTGGGGCTGGTGTTATCGTACCAGGACTTCGCAGTAGCAACGTGTAGGGTGTGGGAGGTCCCGTCTCCTAAGGACGCGCTATCGATTGACGGAGAAAGGATCAGAGGTATGTTCGGCAACCGGTCCCATTTATGTTCCAAGCAGAGCGACTTGTTTTCGTACCGTTGCGTCGGAAACAATCATCGCAAGAGGACCTTCCTCAAACTATTACCTTTCTGAAAAGTTCGCACCTTCCACAAGGTAAAGTAGCCGGTGAGCAATGACATAGGAACTACGTATACATCGCCGAAGCACCTCCGGTCTCAAGGATTTTTTTTATTGCCTTGTGAAAGTACCGCGACCGAAACGAGCCTTCGGAGTAGTGCACCTTCGGAGTAATGCAAACTGTGCAACACAGCACGAACCAAGCATGCTGAGACAGATTGCCGAAGTCGCCTGCCGAAGCAGTCTATGTCACAAGCTACCCCCCAAAATGTGTTTCATACGTTCGTGTTATCGGGCCGGAAGTATCGAACACGCGATCACAGTTTACGTGGACACAAAATTTTGGCAAGCATCGACATGAAAAACTCTCCTGCTATCGAGGCCACCTCCTCCAAGTCTAATTACCCCGTTTGTGAGGATCGCTGTATTTCAACAAGTGCCTCGCTAGAAATGTGCCAAGTAATTACAAAAACAAGCACCATGTAGTCTCCCCTCTCTCCGTTCCCGTAACCCCCCAACCCCCGTCACAATAATTTGTGCGTAAGCGTGTTGATACATGCCGAGACTCCGTATAAACCGCGCAAGCATTCCAAGCACAACGCGAGAAGAGCCACCTCATGCTGGGTTCGAGAAACAGCCCGGTCCCCATACTCCCCACCCAAAACCCCGAACCTCTCATCCCTGTCCCTGAAAGCCATCACCAAACCCCGTAACTCAAGCAACACTACGCTACCGTCGAAAACGCAAGCAGGCGCCACGTGTGTGAGAATGGACAGAAAAAAAACTACTTAGCGTCATAGGTAGTCCTTTGGATGAAGCTGGCAATCCAGGTGGCGGGAATCGTCCCATCTCCTGCTTCCTTCAAGGTAGCCGCGAAATTTTTATCTTTGGCCAAGTCCACCAGCTCCGTCAAGGTGGGTGGCGCGCCGGTCACAAGACTCTTCGCCGCGTCGGGGATATTGGGCAGACACTCCCAAAATTCTTCATAAGAGTACCATTGCATGACAACGCCTCCTGCAGGAGTCCGGAACGTGGACGACATGAAGTCCGGCAAATCCTCGTACTGTTTTTCGAACGGGTTGCAGCCCATGAGGTTTAAGCGAAGGGGGGCAGTGCATCGAACCAAGAGCACACAATATGCATATGAGATGTGAAAGCGACAAGGATAATCAAACTACCTTATGTGGGTCCGAATGCGGGAGACAACTCCGGGGATATGCGTGCACTTAGCCCACCGAGCGTACAGGCTTGCCTACGCTTTCAATCAACTGGTTTACGGGTATTGCATATCGCGGGTCATGTTCTCTGCTAGATAAACCCCAAACTAGAAAAACGCGGGGCGCCCAATCTCTTTTGTGAGGTTCCAACGACCCGACGCATGATGCGAGTCACCAACGCAACCCTCAGCGTCGTTCGGAACGAGTACTGGAGCCGAACTATGACAACATTTACCTGCGCATCTTGCTTCTTCGCACAGTCGGCTTCAGCAGCCAACCTCTGTTGCCGATAATGCTTCGTCCTCGCGCCCCTAGTCTTCTCTCTGGCTGCAGAATCCCGTGCTTGCGCTTCCAGGACATCCTCGTCTGGCGGGCTACCTCCAGGTGCTTTTCCGACCACTCCACATCCTCAACGTTGCGCTCCTCCAGGCTTTGCACCTGGTCTTGGAGTAACTCCATGATTGCTGTAACATTTCCCCTCGCCTCCTGGTGGGCTTGCCTGACTGCCATCTGTCACACGCGTTTCGTATGGCCGTATCAAATAGGGAAACGGTGCGGCATTGGGACTGATAAACCGGGATGGCTCGACATTCGTCCAACCATTCGCGAAGTCTCGAACTTCAATGCTCGTGTTGCGGGTCGGGGGGGGGAGTACTCTTATGTTTTGCATGCCTTAGCGGCTAGACCATCGACCACGCGTCCTCGAGAGGACGGAGCATTGCTCCCACAGGACCGATCACCGATGGCCAATCGTTTCTTTCTACTTTGCCACTGGTGGCTCAAAAATGTCTTCCCTATTCTGTCTATCCTAACGATATCCCATATCCCTTCCCGCCTTTTCAACCCACCTCCTATGCCCCAGTACAGCTACCGTCCTTTCCTCTCTATTCTATGCCTCAAACATCTCCCTGTACGTCCCATCTATTTTTTCCCAGCTCAGTCACGTACACTTCCCTCTCCTTCTTGTACAACGGACATTCCGCGACTACATGAACACGGTCTTCGCATTCGAAGCCGCAATCACATTTGAACTCGTCGTCTTCCTCGTCTACCGTCGTATATCTCCGTCGACGTTCTCGAAGGCCTATGTCCCCGGTCCTGAATTTGACCTTAAGCTTTGTTCCTGCATCCATTGGTCCATGCACAGTATGACACAAGATCACACACCCCCTGGACCAATTTTCAAAGCTCGATTTCTCCACGACGAAGAGGATTCATAAACGAAACGATACATTTTTGGAAAGCTCTCGACAAGACGGTTCCAACGCCGCCGTTTTCGGCGCCGTGACTCTTTCTGTTGTTGAGAAATCGAGATTTGAAAAATCGGTCCAGGGGGTGTGTTATCTTGTGTCATTCATGGTAGGTAATCCTTGAACCCTATTCCTTCCTTCAACATTCCGTGCACTTCTAGACCCTCCGTATCCTTGGTTTCTTTCTTTAGATTATGTTCTCTCTCGGCACAAGCAGCAGATATCTTCTCCTTGAACCCCTGTAGACCCTCCGTTTCCAGCGTTTCATCTTCGTCGATGTCGAGCCCCTTCCATACGTCCTCTACAACCTTGACCCATTCCGTGGGTTGTCTACCCCTCTTTTTGTTTGCCCACTTCGCCTCCCATACAATTCTCGGCAACCTCTCCTCTCCCATCCCGCACATGCGATACTGCCAGGTCAGCTTCCTCGCGTCTCTTCCCGACCGTAGGTATTGGATCCCAAATTCTGCCCTGACGGCTGCATTACTTGTGCGCTTGGAGNCCTACAACCTTGAACCATTCCGTGGGTTGTCTACCCCCCCTTTTTGTTTGCCCACTTCGCCTCCCATACAATTCTCGGCAACCTCTCCTCTCCCATCCCGCACATGCGATACTGCCAGGTCAGCTTCCTCGCGTCTCTTCCCGACCGTAGGGATTGGATCCCCAATTCTGCCCT